TTCCAAGAAGTGGATTTTCTGTAGATCGAGGATTTTAATTTGACAGAATCTTCGGGAAAAAACATATTCCTTACCTCAGCATGTCCCGATTCAGTGTTGTATACGATGTAAATAAAAATAAGTTAATGCAATCTGTTTTTCGGCACTTACATATTGCACTCTTTGCTAGCTTTACAGTGTAGTACAGTTTGTCAAAACTTAGCTATACTCCTATTTTTGTTTAAACTTTGGATTTATGATACAAATATTATAAAAGTAAAATATGATTATGATTTACTGTGTCTCTTGAAGGGTAAAGGAGATCATTATAGATGGTCTCCTAAAACCCCATTAAGCTTTAAACGGTAACATATGATAAATAAATTGCGGGGGTGTTGTTAGAAACAACCTCTGAATTTCTTGAAAGTTAATGAAGAGAAGAGTGTTGTCTTCATTAAATAAAGTATTGGTTAACAGGAATTTAGAACGCACACACGCCTCTACATGTATGACCATTTTAAAGTTACCATGTAATACAAGTTGTCGTTCCTGCAACGCTCCCTCAAACACTTTTATACAACAGTGGCGGATCCAGAAATTTCAGAACGGAAAGGGAGCGCACCAGAATTTTTCCCTTTATAAAAAAATCCATGCTGTATAAACACAACATAATTATTTCGCAGGGTGTCACTTTTTACCAACTTACCTGGGAATATGTCTTAGGTCATTTTTTGTTAATTTACTACATAAATTTTAATAACTCTGAAACTCCTATCCAAATGCTGCTGGATTCTGAAAAAAAAGCCGTACATATTTTTGTGTTTTTGGATATATACATGTGTATGTATTTTTTGCATAAATATTTGGTTTACACTTCTTTAAAATCAATTATCCATATACATATGTACTGCAGTCCTAAAAACAGCCTATTTCACCTCAAAACTACATCTGAGATGAACTTCTCCATGGTTGATACCTAATACGTAAAAACTTCACTATAAAAAAAATCATGAATTACTACAAAAGAAAACAAATGAAGATATGCAAGTTAAAAAGTTATTTTATTAACTATTTCTTTATCTTATCTTTATACTGGCTCAGGTAAATGGTGTTGCATTTAAATAAATACAAATTTCAAAAGTTGCTGATTTATCGAAATAATTATACTTTGAAATAATTATTTGGGAACATTCGCTTTTCCTTAGTCTAGTCCACAAACCTGGGACTTCTTTTTCAAAACAATGAAAGGGCGGGGTGGGGGGGGGGACAGTGTGTTTACTGAAGAAATATATTGTAAATACAATAAAAAAGCTAAATCTTTAAAGTTAAATCTAATAAAATTGGCACTAACTATTCCTTTCTATTTTACACGTTTTTTTTATTGAATTTAATATGGCGTCTTACAACATAAAAGTTCGGTAAGACACGCTTATAACAAAGTGCCAGGGATGAAGGATTTTGCTTTGTTATAACCGTAATTCGTTATATCTGTTACGATTACAATATATTTTAAAGTCATTGGGAATTAAAATCACTTTGCTGTAAGCGTCAATATTCATTATAAGCGCGTTCGCTATCAGCGTGCACTATGGATCTTTTGGCTGACACATGTTTATAACAAAGACAATGTCAGAAGATTTTGTTTCACATAAAAAATTAAATTTAGTTAAAAAAGGGAAAAAAAGTCCTTAAATTCATAGCACGTGTATACATGTATTTGAAATATATAATTCATGTACGTTGTATAATTTAAGTTTTAAATATAGTATCCAAGTAGTTCGATGAATTGCCTGTATGATAAATTCTTTACGTTTATACAGTTGACAATAAACACTTTTTCGTTCATTAATGTATGCAAGTACATATATGTAACGTACTTCAGTCACTGTTCAAAACATCGATTTAAAGCCTAATCAGCTTTCCATAAACAATTTTCAAAAATCTAAACCAAAAACGTTAGGGGGAAACCCTACTATGGGGGAAAATCTGCTATGTAGTAGCTTTTCTCCCTAGGGGGAAAACTACTATATAGCCAGTTTTCCGGGGGGAAAGCTACTATGGGGGGAAAAACTACTATACAACACCGTTCTTGACGACAAGGACTTACAACAACCAATGTACATGTACTATTTCCAAAAAATCAATAAAGTATCGCTGATTATGTTTGACTGACTATTAGACACATAGCAAATTTGATAGGTATCAATTTGGGGTTAGTTTAATATGTTTTAAAGAAACATTTGACAGTAAAAAGCTAAATACTCAATGGTCACCCTATGTTTTGAAAAATGAGTGAAAACGACAAAGTGTAAGAATATCTAAACAATTATCTAAAAAACCAAAAAAATGTACTTATCCACGTTTGTCTGAAATTCAAACAGACAATGAAACTTGAATCCATTGCTTTAAACCCTCAAAACAAATTTACAGTATGATACACTTGACAAAAACAGCAGAGGCTTGAGAAGAGAAAAGAATTACAAAAGCACAAAAACAATTTTATATGCTATTAATTTAAATATTAGTGGTCTTGTTGTTCAAATTCTTATTCGGGGAGGCAGTTCAATTTCTAGAGAAGTCTAGAAAGCAACAACAAAAAATCGAAAGGTTTGTGAGAGGAAGGAACCGGAAACAAATTTCTTTATGACAGCATCCAAACCCTCACTCAGGCCGTGAAGAGTCAGGGATTTTGGAGGAGAAATAGAAAGAAGATGTTTTTTCATACCAACAATATTCGCCAGATCTTTCTACCTTTGTCTTCATTTCCTAAACTTGTAAAAACACCTTTCAGGAAGAAGAAACAAGTACAGAAAATCATATGATCTGTCATATTCCAGTATACGAAAGGCCATACTCAAAAATGTGTTCTAAAAACAATCAGAAATTGGATAAAATGTTACAGACATATACTTTAATTAAATGATAATATTTAGTTGAAATCATTAAGAATAATTCATTGAAAAGGGTTTTTTCATTTCTTTCCAATCACTGAGGACATTATTAATTGAAAAGCCCTCGTAAAAGGTCTACAGTAACAGTAACACCAGACTTTGGTCAAATATCTTATCAGCTCATTTTAGACCAAGTTTTATTAGCTCACCTGATCTGAAAGCTCAAGTGAGCTATTCTGATCACAATTTTTCTGTAGTCCGTCTGTAAACTTTTAACATTTTCGACTTCTTCTCCAGAACATCTTGGCTAATTTCAACCAAACTTGCCACAAAGCATCCTAGGGGGAATGGGATTCAAGTTTGTGCAAATAAAGGGCCACGCCTTTATTCAAGGGGAGAAAATTATGAAATGGTGAAAATTTGGTGGCATGTTTTAAAATCTTCTTCTCAAGAACCACTGGGTAGGGAAAGATGAAACTAATCAGGAAGCATCCTCAGGTAGTGTAGATTGAAGTTTGTTGAAATCATGACCCCGGGGTAGGGTGGGACCACAATGGACGATCAAAGTTTTAAATAGGAATATATAGGAAAATTCTTTAAAAATCTTCTTCTCAAGTACAACACAGCCATGATTGTTCACATTTATAAAGAAGCATCCTCAAGTAGTGTAGATTAAAGTTTATTCGAATCATGAACTCCATGTGTAGGGTTGGGCCACAATGGGGTTTTAAAGTTTAACATAGGAAAAATCTTTAAAAATATTCTTCTCAGTAACAAAAAAGCCATGATTGGTCATATTTATAAGGAAGCATCATCAGGTAGAGTAGATTTAAGTTTGTTCAAATCATGACGCCCGGGGATAAGGAGGGGCATAACTAAACGAACAGACTTGTAGGGCAAAAAAGCCACAGCAAGTCTAAGAAATATGTAAGCATCCTTTGTAGGTTCAAGTTAACTCAAATCACCCTTCCTTCTGCCTTTTAGGGGTAAGTTGTGACCACATGTATTTAAGTTTTTCAAAACTGGATTGATTTTTGCTTTTTTCCTTACCACAGTGCTCAGGTGTGCGATGTGGTTCATGGGCCTCTTGTTACTTTGTATATTAAAACAAGATGATGGGTCTTACGTGTACAATGGTTTCCCTGTTGTGACAGGACTGGTGTTGCTGGATATCACTCCTGGTGGTCATAGTCCACACGTATCCAGCAACAACTCGCAAATCTATTTAAAAAACATTGAAACATTGAGTTCTCAAAAGAATGGCTGGGTAAAAACAAACAAACAATCTAACAAGCAAACATTTTTTTTAGATATAGCTTAATGACAAAGAACAACAATATATAAGATATAACTTATGTACTATCTGAATTTGTTAAGAGTGGTGTTCTTTTATATTACTTAACGATGAAAGGACCTTCTCTTGGAATCGTATAGTCAAAGATCCTCTCCCCTTGTTCCCTATTCTCAGACACGCTTGCTCCTGTACATATATAGTTTACTGTACTAAAAGACTTAGAGGTCGAATTACAACCCGACGTACATCTCCAGAAGGTACTCTTCATTCCAGTAACCAGGGAACCTATAAACTATTCGCAATCCCAACTTGAATGAGAACTGGGCCTGCAAATCGTTTAGGAAAACTACAATTTATGAATATAAATTACCTTTTGTTTAAATAAACAAAGTACTGAAGTTTCCACAGTTTCTTTGTCTGTTCACGATTCGTTTTGTGTCTTTGTTTGCTCATGATTTGTTTTATCCATGTCTTTGCCTGTTCACATTTTGATTTTTCCACGTCTTTGCCTGTTCACAATTTGATTTTCCCATGTTTTGCCTGTTCACGATTTGCGTTGTTCACTGGATTTTTGAGATTGAACATTGTTTTTTATCTTCACATTTTCCATGCTAGTACGTCAAAGGAAAATTATTAGTACAAAAATAAATATCAATCATGTCCAGCATTTCCCTACTCTATTATTTCTTTTTTACATTATATTATAAAAGAAATTTTAAAATTGCAAAGAAATACCACTCTAAAATAGCAAATTGTATTTTGCCTTTCAAACTATTCGCACCATAGAGATCTTGAAAGTAGTTGTTTTGTTTAACTCTTCTTTTATTATTTTGTAGGTGTATATGGAGAACATTGGCTCGGGAATAAAATGATACACCGACTGACAAATCAGGACCACTACACACTTAGAACTGAGATGACGGACTGGGATAAAAACCGTAAATACGCTGAATATAGCACGTTTGTAGTTGATGATGAAGATGATGGGTACAAATTACATATCGGGGGTTACGAGGGAGACGCCGGTGATGGAATGATTAAACATAACAATAAAAAATTCTCCACTCGAGATGTTGATAATGATCAAGTTGTGAAAGAATTTGGTGGAAGTTGCGCAAAGAGATTCCACGCAGCATGGTGGTTTTATAAGTGCTTACAGAGCAATTTAAATGGAAAATATTATAGAAATGGGAAAATTGACGATAAAAAATATGATGGTGTAACATGGAAACCCTGGACTGGCACAAACTATTCACTTAAACACGTGGAGATGAAAATAAGACCGAATTTAGAGCGCAAAGTTACATAAGGTGGATTTTTGAATGAAAATATAACAGACCATTTAGGGGGTTGTCCAAATAAACAACACAGGATGAAGCATGTACAGATCCCCTGGGAATGACATTCAGTGAAAATACAAACAGACGAATTAGAGTACATATAAATGTGCATAAAATAGAACGTAAATGAGTTGATACTTGGAGGCATCCAAACAATTGCGTCACAAGCCTCAAAGCAGCGAGGTATTGATTCCAACCAAGTACAAAAATCGAAGAAAAAACATTTTGCCAAAATTACACAATTTCCTTCTTTTTCATCATGTTTTTACACTCCAAACTTTGAACGAACTCACTGTTATACTCGGGTGTTTTTATTTTAATAACTACTCATGAGAGAGGCTATTTGAAACTGTAACTCACATCAAAACGCTACAATACCTGTTTAGATTTAGATAATTCTTTTTTCTTAAAAAATCTTCATAAAGACAAGTTAGAAATAATTTTATGTTGTAACCATCTCAAGATGGGTTCAACAAGATCAATGGCCATTTTGATTTTACATTGAATATCTCTTGTAACCGGGACTCTTGCGTCCTGTTGTGGCGCCAATGCATGATGTCCTTCAGGAGTATCATGCAACAATATATTTAAAAAGTGGTATAAATCAGAATTAGGTTCTTAAAAATTCCAAGATAAAATTTTGGAAAATTTGTTATCACAAAACTTTACTAAAATCAATAATACTAGTACCAAAAGCAACGGCTTATCAACTCTTTATACAGCCATGATCAACTCTTTATGCAGCCACTATCAACAATAAATAAAGTCCAGGCTTTTTGACTTCTGCTTTTCAATAAAAACGGAATTCTAAATTACCTTGTCCTTGGTTATTCGCAAAATTATTTTGTAAAACCAATCTAGCTTACTGTGCACATATATACTCTGAAGTTGATATTTAAAGATGCTTAAGTTTCTGATTGCCAATATTTATGTATTTTTTTGGAGACAAAGTCCCAAGGGTGCCACTTGCAATCTGTTATTAGCAGCCATAGTTTTGTATTCATATAAAGTTTAATTTATTTAAATTCCTATACTTGGGAAGAGGGAAACATTTGCTGTGGCCTTCAATAAAATATACTGAGATAACGAACAGTAAAAAAGCTCCGAACTCCATTAAACAATACAAAATATGATCAGAACAAACACGGGCCTCCAAAAAATCAGAGGTGGATGAGGTGCCTTGGAGGAGTGAGCATCCCTTGCTGACCGGTCACACCGCTCCTTGTCAAGATCGGATAATAACGGGGAAATCTGAACTTACGAAATGCTTTTAAACGATACTTCTGATGTTCTTGATTTTTTGCAATTTGTCATTAATTTACCTCGTTTTAAAAATTGTTCGTACGTAGAACATACTCTTGTGATCAAATCAACTGAGAGTAAAGCTTGGTTAGTTAGATAACCATTAACGTCTTTTTCATGTAAAATATCAAAAGATGAAACAAGTGTATCAGACTCCATGGTATCTTTTATTTCAAGCTCACCGGAATATAGCATACAGACATAAGAATGGAAATAACCATTGTCAATTGACAAAACGTCTTCGATATACCTAAAATTCTATATGTCGAGGTGAAGGCCACAGAGGTGCATTTTTTTGTTTTCAACATTTAGATATACTGATGAAGAAGTATTTATTAACAATAGTTTTTTCCATTCATATGTTGACACGATATATCACAGCGAGCTTCAAATAAAAGGTATCACAGAGTCTAACACATTTATATGTACAAGTATTGTTATTTGATATCTGTATGTGACCTAGTATACAAGGAGAGGGTGTTCATAGGCCTTGCCTTTTGCCCAATCCTTATTGTATTATTTAATAAAATATGTTTTTATATAAGTAAAGTAACACATTTATTTCAGATTTAGATATTCTACTAGAAAAACACGTAATTGATAACCTAACAACAAAAACTTTATGATAAATCTCATGATTTTAACTTTTCAATTGTTAACCTATCTCATGTACCATGTGTAGCAATATGCCTCTTTACCTGTTTATGGAGTTTATATCTCTCAGTTTATATTTCTCTTCAGAAACGTATGAGCAATTTCTCAAACAAGATAAGTTATTGACGAACAAGTTGATGACACAAGAATACCAACGTAACAGTCTCGTTTAAAGTCAATTCGTAAGTTCCAGGGATGATACAATGGCCTTGACAGCAAATACAATTATCTTTAAGTCAAATATGACGTTTTTCATATTTATTTACGTACTGATATTTTGTCAACAGATTTTCCCGATATTTCCTGATCATGACAATGAGCACATGCTGGGTGTGACCGGTCACTAGGGTATGCTCACCCCTCCATGGCATCTGATCCCATCTCTAATATTTTAGAGGTACATGTTTGCTCTGCTCCTTATTTGTATTGTTTGAATGGACTTTTGAGCTTAAATACTGTACGTAAAATCCATATATTTCATGCAGTAGAATTTGTTGAAGGACGTTTTACTGTGGGATCAAGTAAGCTGCAGGTCTTAATATACTATGTATAGGTAGCTTATTACTAATACATGTGATTATCCTAGAGATTCACTGATAATCATCCTAGGTGATTTAGGAGTTCTACTGGATGAAATCTGCCACTAGTTTCTGTAGTATCCAATCCTTGAAAATGTTGAAATTGATGCATGAAAAATATGGGGAGACGCACTCTGATCTTCCCTAAGTGAGATGGAATTATTGTCCCCCGCTTGAAAAGTGGGGGATATTAATTTGGGTTTGTCCGTCCGTCCGTCCGTCTTTCTGTCTGTCTGTAACGCTTTCGTTTCCACACGATATCTCGAGAACCCTTTGAGCTTTTGCAATGAAATTTAGCATAGCAACTCCCTATGGACTAAAGAAGAACCCTATTGATTTTGAGGTCAAAAGATCAAAGGTCAAGATCAAAAATAAGCAAATTCTGTCTGTTATAACACTTTCGTTTCCACACGATATCTCTAGAACCATTTGAGCTATTGCAATGAAATTTTACAAAACAACTCCCTGTGGCCTAATGAAGACCCCTATTGATTTTGAGCTTATGCAATGTAATTATATACGAAAACTCCCTAGGACCTCTCTCACCCCTCTCAAAGTGTCCCGCCCCGTTTGTTTTATTAGTATTTATTGTATTAAATACATGTCAGTATTTTTAGCACAGGGGCATGAGAAGAGTTATGACATATAAAACAGGTTCTCGGCGGACTTCATATTCTTATTACATCTATTAGAACTGTTTAATAAAGGCTAAATAAATCAAACACCATGGTTTGTGTAAAATTTTGATAATACCGAACATGAAAACATTAATATATACATGTATGTGACTTCAGTTCTGCATATACTTGAATTCAATTAAAGTGATTCCGTGGTCTAGTGGTATGTCTATTGCTTCACATGCGAGAGGTCCCGGGATCGAATCTCAGACGGTCCTTTTTTTTTTATTTTTAAATACTTTTTCTTTTTTTTTTTTTTACTAAATGATAGTATTCTATAGAATGCCATTTACGACAGCCAACTGCTTACTGCCAACTGCTGACTGCTTACTGCCAACTGTCAGCTGCTTACTGCTAACTGCCACACATATTTGAATAAATTTTATTTTTATATTGATATTTATGTGAATTTTCAAAAAAAAAAAAAAAAAAAAAAACAGGCGCGGATCTGGAACATTTTTTCCAAGAGGGTCACTCATGTTAAAAAAATATCCAACCCAGATATTTCTTGACAAGAAAAAAACGTAAACTTAAGTCCTTTCCTTAATGTGAAAATTTATTTCGGCGGGGAGAGGGGGTTCTCATGCATCATACCTTCATGTCTACGACATTTTTTATACCAACTTAACACGAAACCGCGTTTTGGGGGGGAAGTGGGGGGGGGGGGGTGTAAAAACAAAGAGATATAAATGTTTGATCGGCGTTTTCTACGTGGAGGGTCTAAGATCAGTTTTAGTTCGTCTAGTTTATACATTAACCCATGACTGTTCAAATTTTAAATGCCCCCACCCCACCCCCAAGATATTTGCATGTGAAACATTATAACACATAGAGATACACATCTTTAATTTGACGAAATTTTTAGCTGTAGAATATAATGGAAAATATAAACTTATTTTTAAAACATCTTTCCCTGCAAAACAACGATTTTTTTCCCCTTTTTCTCTCTTCAAAGGTTTTGTTGTCTCCGGGGGTTGAGGGAGGGTGTACTTCTTTAAAGATTAAAAGCAGAAAATAGTCATTTTATTACCTATTTCAAATAAGAAAACAAATAAAAAATGTACTTTATCAATCTCATATATTGAATAAATATTAAATAGGATAAACATATTGGTCATTTAATCAATCTAATTTTACCAGGGTGACCCTCTTGGAAAAAATATCCTGGATTCGCGCCTGTTTTTTGTTTGTTTGTTTGTTTGTTTGTTTGTTTTTTTTTGTTGTTTTTTTTTTAAATTCACATAAATACCAATATAAAAATAAAAATTATTCAGATATGTGTGACAGTTAGCAGTAAGCTGCTGACAGTTGGCAGTAAGCAGTCAGCAGTTGGCAGTAAGCAGTTGGCTGTCGTATATGGCATTCCATAGTATTCAGCATGTGAAATGAGAAATTTATGAGGTTATAACATCATCATTACATTGTGATAAATATTCCATATAAAAAAGAATCTTCTATACCCATAATAAAGAATAAGCTATCAAATCTTTATAAGCATATTGACATACATGTATTTTATTTGCTTCAGTATACATGTATACATTTAATAATTCTACAAATTCAGTCAGGGGGGTCCGACTTTTTCCCTTAGCGGGGGACACGAATTCTCTGAATTAGCTTGTTGTAATGAAGACAGATTCAAGGCAAAGTTTGCGACCTCATGAAAATAAAAACGAGAAGTGTATTGATTTAAATGAAATTTTCAAGGGGTTTGTTTCAATATTTAATTTGTTTTGTTTGTTTACAATTTGTATTCAC